CCAGCTACATGAATATAAGAGTAGTACTGGATTGGCAATTAGGTCCCCCCGTTTTACTGATGAAATAGCTAGAAGCATCTCCGACTTTTACAATAACAGTTTCTTTTGTCGCACTGTGGAACTCCCATCCAATTTCTTGCTTCCCTGTCAACTGCAATCTTCAAATTTTTTTAATGTAACGTCTATCGCTATCTTCTGCCTTCGTGAATCATTTGCTTTTTTTGTCATTTCCTCAATCCTCCTCATTCTCAGTCTTTTTAGCACTTACATTTCTTGTACCCCACTCCCCGCCCGCGTTTTAGTGACATTGCCACCTTCCTTGGAGTGAAATAATCCTCGGTGCTGGTAGTGACGCACCAATTCAGTAGAAATAAACTATAACTGATACCACAGGGACAACATATCACAATAATCAACAGATACCCCTTGTCAACCAAACAATCAACATCTGATGATGACCAGAATGTACTTGGTTGAAACGTTGAAAACAACGGTTCGAAATAATACAAAAATACTGACAATTACTTATCTCAGAAATTAAATACTAAATTGGGAGGAGATTGTCCAAAATTTAATTTCCTCTGAAAAAAAAAACCGCTTTAGTTTTCTTTCTCTCACCATACGGTCAGTTTTAGACAGGGTGTAATCGATTTCTATTTCTTCCTCAGATTTGGTCATTTGCAGTGGTGTGCAGTAATATGGCTCTATTTTCGGGGTGTATGATGAAATTTTTTGCCTTGAAATATATTGCATCATCCGTGATTGCATCAGATTTTCATCACGCTCAGACACTATTGTCTCGACTGTCGATTAGTTGTCCTACGGCCATTGTCTGCGATGGACTTTACTCCAAGGATGCGTTCGAAAATGGTAACGCTGCACGATTACACTAACAAGCTTTATCAGTGAACAAATCAAAATGCTATAGACTGGCACGGAAACACTCCTGGTTTAAATCTAGTTTAGAATCTGTGAAAAATTTGCAAGGAACGACTTCGTAGAATGGACATACAAAGTACTGCACTGTAGCATGTGTCATTGGGAAAACAATAAATAATAACAGAATTATTCGTTTTGTTTCAATTAATTTTCACAATGGTGTATATCGGTCTGGGTATGGCAATAAACTACATCTGACGAGAAGGCCTCTGATCAGGAGGTTTTGTGGAGCGTGGAACAATCTATTAATTGCTGTTATTTCCAGGTCTACCATGACTCGGGAAGGTACCATCTGTTAGGGTCCCAGCTGTAGGAAAATCGTCAACCTACAAACTGGTTTCTAAACACTATGAAATTATAAAAATAGATTTTTATGGTAAAAATCCCAGCAAAACATTTAACTCTCGACAAAATCCCTCTTTACAAAAATCTGCAAGGGACCTGATCTACAAACTGTTTTCTTACAAAGAATACATATTCTATCCATACCAGCCTATTCTATAAATCTTGTCGGTATTCAATAACTCATATAGATGTTGATATACCGTAAAACAAAATAAACTAAACTAAACCAAATATCTCTGCCATGGAAGAGCACTTATATTACATATCAATCTAGTATTCTTTTCTTTGTGTCTAACGAAATTTTCCTGTTTCTTAATACTTTGCTTAGCTTTTGGGAAGCATATTTAAGTATTCCAATGCTCCTTCCTTCGGATTTCGTTGTCACATTCTCCATCCGCTATGTCTCCGGTATTTAAACTTATACCTTATATTTGAATATATCTCCGAAATTTAAATTTGTGTATTTACATTTCAGATTTGTAGGTCACATCTTGGGCCTTTTCCCTAACGGGTAAACATGACTTCTTCAGTTGATAGTTAGTCTTTTCTTCTCTCTTTTTCCTTACATTGCGCCAACCGATAATAAATGTTGCTACTGTCTCCAAATCCCTTTCGATAGTATTTTTACAATGATGTCCACCCTATACAAGGCCCAAGAGCCACACGAGGTAATGGATTACGCAGTAAGTAGTACCACCTCAAGCTAGGTGATAATGACACTAAAACGCAAGGGGCCACCAGAAATGGAAAAAGAAGGTAAAGACTTCAGATGGAGAGAAACCATATCCTAAAAAGGATACAAGAAATAAAGCCCGAGTTCTATTCAAAAGAACGGGGAGGAGTGTGAACAGGACGATAGGCAAACCTATCTAGTCCTACTGAAGAAAAAATGTAAATCTTACTTATTATAAAACGCAGATTCTGTGTGTGTGTGTGTGTGTGTGTGTGTGTGTGTGTGTGTGTGTGTGTGTACGTTTATATATTGGATTGGATTTCCTACATTTTTCAACCGATTTCAACAAAACTTCACAGGACTGCGTAAAATTACCTTATGGGTGGTTCTGACAGCGCGAAAAAATTGAAAAACACAATTGTGTTTGCACGAAATCAGTTTGAAATCACGATAAAAAATACGATTCTGTCGCCAGAATGAAACGGGGACAACTCATATCGAGTTATACTTATAAAACCCAGGTTTTTTGTTTTGTTTGTGTGT